TATATATATATATATATATATATATACATACATACATACATACATACATACATACATATGTGTTCTGTTGGTATAGCAACCTCTTTGAAGGTAGTAAGTCCTCTTAGGTCACTGGTTGGAATCCCCCTCTGGTGAGTTTGCCGGTAGTGAGGGTGATTCTCGAATAGTTAGGCACATGAGGGCTGAGGGCTCGTATAATAGCCTCCGACCATTCTTCGTATCATCAATGATAAGAATATATATATATATATATGTATTATGTATGTATGTATGTATGTATGTATGTATGTATGTATGTATGTATGTATGTATGTATGTATGTATGTATGTATGTATGTATATTAATACATATTTGTTCACTTTGATCTTTTGAAAATCGTCTTCTGTTCGCTAGTAAGCATGTTGTGAATTTGGTGGTGTTTAATATCAAATTTTAAGAAAAACTTCATATTTGAATCATGATTTGCCCCATAAGTATATTTTTGAACTATAGGAGCATGAATCTAAAGAGCTCAATCATTTTTTAAAAAAATAATTTCAAGGTCACGAGCTTTAAATTTAAAATTCAAATACTAATAATTTTAAGCCTTGAAATTTTATATTTTAAAATCGAAAAACTTTGAAATTTTTGAAATTCTAAGAGCCTAAATATTTAGAAGCCCAAAATTTAAAACAATTTAAAGCCTGAAGTGCCTATATTTAAAAAGATTAAAATTTCAAATGATTCACATTTTAGTTTTATTTTTAAAGTCCAAAAATTCCAAAATTTCAATATATTTACAAGTCTAAATTCACCTTAAAATTCGGCAGCCTCCCAACTATATTTGAGTGGGCTTGGTCAGACAAACAAGCAATCCCTCAGTTTAGACAGAAAAGAGAGCATAGAGGTGGATCAGGCTAGGGTAGAGAAGTTTTCGGTAGATTTGTTGGCTCGAGTAGTGCGAAAGGGGTTAGGCAAGGAAGATTGGATTGTGGACGAGGCTCCCGGTGATTTGCAGGGGAAGGAGCGGCGAGCCGGCGAAGGCTTTCAGGTGGAGTGTAATTTTGGTGCAGGGAAGATCGTGGCCTCCTGTTCAAGGGAAGATCACGACAAGTGAACGGGAGGAAGTGTAGTTTGCATGAGGGAGGACACGTGCAGACTTCTAGTGACGACATGGAAATGCTTCACGAGGCTTGTGAAGGCTACGATAGAGAGGGATTGAGCGGGAGGTGTGGCAGGATTCAGATTGGCGAGAAAAGGGGAGAACAATGCTGTGCAAGGGGATATTCGGGTCTTTGCAAGCCAACAACCTCAACGCCACATTCTCGGTTAGCTCTAATCACGACTAACTACAGAGACATTTAGGCGAGACTGTGAACAAAGCAGGTTAGGGATCGTATGTGGCTTCATGAGCAACGGGAAGGATTGGGGCACTGTGAATAATTGGTGTGACACTGTGCAGAGGAGATATAACTAGGGTTGTAAACGAGCGGAACACGAGCGAGCTCAGACTCAGCTCGTGTTCGGCTCGTTAAAAATATCACTGTTCGTGTTCGACTCATTTATATTTCGAACATAAAAAGAGTGTTCGTGTTTTGTTCATTTGCTTAGCGAGGCGAACACGAGCTGTTCACGAACAAATAGTCGTTTTGACAACCATAATCTCACAGTCGTAGGATGTTGAGGGTTGGGACAAAATTTAAATCTTATTATTTATATTAAAACATCATTTAAATATGATTTAATATTTATTTTTTAATTAAGAGTTTTAATTGATTATAAATCTTTGTAGCCTTGTAGTCAATTAATTTTTACTTAAATACTACTCATCAATATATATATCGAGCAGAAAAAATAGTGTTCGCGTTCGACTAGTTAACTTAGCGAATGATTCGAACACGAGCTTCTTAACGAGCCGAACATGAGCTATTTGCGAACAACGAGCCTTTTTTACAGCCCTAGACATAGAGAAGGATTCATGCACAGGGAAGGGGAACAGTAGCGAAATTAGGGCAGAGCAATTCGATTATGGAAGGGGCTTTGGTAGTCTGAATAGGGAAGAGAGGAGAAGTGTTTTTGTGGGAGAAAGAAAATAGAAAACCAAAACTTATGATTTCGTGCAGATTTCTTAACAAAGACGAAATATAGAGGGCAAATAATCAGCGACAGTGGGGAGAAGAACTGTGATCGACTGCAACAAAGGAAGGCTTTGCCTTGTTGGGATTTTCAGTGGAGGGGGAATGACCGAGAGGTCGTGTCTCCGGGTAATTTAGAGGGGACATCCTTTTATTACAGGTGGTGAAAGTAGCACATATTAGTGAGAATATAGTAGGAAATTAAAAAATTAGAAACGTGGTGAAAGTAGCACATTTTAAAGAGAATATAGCAGAAAGCATGACTAGTTGAAGCATGCGTAATCAAAGATCGAAAATGTATTAAATAGTTAAGTTAATGCTAATGGTTATAATTTTTTTTAACACCAAAATTTTTCTTTATTGCATGTTTTGGTAAAGCTCTTTCACATAATTATTACACACCTATCTACATCCTTCCCCTTACTTTTTTATGTGTTCTGGCAGAACCCTCTAGCAGGCGCTGCCGTTATGTCTGGTTTCTATATCCCTCTTACCTGTTCAGGCAAAGAACTTGAAGCTTTATAATTTTTTTTCCATTTTGTTAACGTCAAATATCACTACATTGCTATATTCAAGTAGCAGAAACCAGGCTGTCTCAGGAGTTTGTGGAGTCATGTAAAAGGTTTCTGAAAAGAAAATCAATTCCACTTTCTAGCTTTATGGATCTGTAAAATCTCAAGCTCCCCCAGCTTTTTTTTATGATTCTTCGGATTTCTGGATTATATCTGAAGAGATGAGTTTTGGAGTTTCGAATGTAATATCTTTCAATAAATGATATAATATGCCATATTGGAGATGTTATATTAATAAAAACCTGAATTTCTAACTTAATTTTTAGACTTCTAGGGACTCTGTTCTTCTTGTACATTTGATGTCCCACATTTTTATTTATCTTTGTCGTTTGATTTCTGATATAAAGCAGTTATATCCAATTATCATGATCCTATGCAATTAGCGTCTCTGGGTATTTGCTGATCCATGGTTATTTCCAGGTTTCTCGATCAAGTTCTGTGCCCCCAAACATGCGGGACACCTTATATCAAGGATTACCGCCAAGCATAAAAAATGCTTTTCGCGCAAAGTTGCACTCTCTTAAGGTTGATGAAGAGGTAAAGCCGCACTACAGTTTCATACAAAATTCTTGTAGAAGCTTCATCCAGATTTAGTCATATAACAAAAAAGCATATCTCAGCTTTCAATCCTTTTCCAGATAACAGTTTCACAGATCAAAACTGAGATGGATAAAACTCTAAGATGGCTTGTTCCACTTGCCAATAACACAACCAAGTAATTCATATAATTGTAGCTGGTCAATATTTTTTTTGTTTGCTGTCTTCTGATCTTAGATTTTTCATTAGTAATAGCCTTTTAAAATCACATTCTTATCCATGTGTCTGACATGATGTATTTTTTTTAACAGAGCTCATCATGGATTTGGCTGGGTCGGAGAGTGGGCAAACACAGGGTACCTCACTTTTCACCACATTAATCTGGATGTACTGGCATAAGCATAGTGTCCATTAACTTGTTCCATTTCGTTTCTTGTTTTAGGACGGATATGAATCGGAAGGCTGGTGGACAGGCCGACTTGATTAAGATCGAGACTCTTTATCATGCAGATAAAGTCAAAACTGAATCATTCATACTGGAGCTAATTGTGTGGCTCCACCACCTCATAAGTCGATCAAAACCAGAAAATGGAAGTTTAAGGTCTCCCATCAAGTCTCCTATTCGTTCTCCCACAAATAAAAGCTTGGCTATCGATCCACCTGAAAGCATGGCCAACACGTCTACTTTACTGTCTACAGAGGATCAAGAGATGCTTCGGTATGTCAACTTCAGGAAGTTAATCCCTGGTATCAGCAAAAGCCAGGAGTTTGACACTCACAGGTGTAAGTTAGACAAACATAGCAGGCTGAGCAAGAGCAACAGTCATTCACCAACAACTGCAAGCAAGAAAGAACTTTGCACTTTGCGAAGGCCGTCTTTATTACCTATTATCGATTTTGGTATTGATAAGATGAAAGCTCTTGATGTAATTGATAGAGTGGATACATTAAGAAAATTATGAGTTGAATAAATCATAGAGATCAGGGTGACTCCATCATAATGAGCCAGTGTTCTAGGCAAATTGACTTTCACGGCAGTGTATAATCCTTTTTTTTTTTCTTTTTTTTAAATAGATGTATGCCTCTGAGGCGGCCTTGTAAGATAAAGAATGAGCTGTGATGGGTGGTCTTGTATGTTATTATGGGGTTAGAGCTTGGTATTTGGACATATTATATGAAGCATTCTTTGCAACATAAGATGAAAAAAATAAGAGAAAAAAATTGTTGCAGTCTCAGTTTTTTACTTTTATTAGCTGCCCCAATCTTTCCAGAGATGCAGGATCTCAAGATGATTTATTCTTGTGAGGATTGCTGCTAACTAATTTTTTGGTTTTTGCTTGATTGAAATCCATGCCTATTGATTGTGGATTATAATTTTTTATCACTTTTCAGTTGCAGAATGGGAATTTTTTCCTCAGGATGGTTTTTTTGGTGGAATGGGTTAATGTTAGGAAGAACATATTGCCTTGGGAGTAAATTTTGAGTTACTTTGGGTTATTTTCTCATTGCTGTTCTGAAATTTTATTTTGTATTGTTTTTTTTATTTATTTATTGTCATTTATTTTTTCATAAAAATGGTCTGCTATCTTGGAATTAGAGTTGTTGTTCATAGTTATATGATGGTGAAGTCTTCATAGTTGTAATGAAGTCTACAGCAGCTATACTATGGCAGCCATTGATTGCTAAATTATGTAACATTTGTTTTTTTTTTAATGGTAGGTTTATATAACAACATCTGTTTTTCATATATATGTAACATATAAAAAGTTTGACATTACATTAAAAATATTTTTTAAGATTATGTTTTAAGGATAAAATGTCTATGTAATATTTTAATGTAATTAAGAAATCAAAGTATTATTGTGCACAAAAATATCATAATATAGTAAAAGTTAATTTATGAGAATTGAGTCTATCTGTTGAAGTGATTGAATTAAGCTACTAACAAAGTGGTTGAATTAAAGTCACCTCGGTAAACTATTAGAAGGAATAAATATGATTGATAGAGATCTATCAATTCTTCGTAACGAAAGACGCTGAATGTTTGGAATAGAAAGTGTGGTGGAGGTGCCAAAAGCTGTTGCAGTACTAATCATATCTGATAGCTCGATAATTATGAATCTCTTCCATATTAAAATTGTCAAAAGAGGTCACTAGAGAGAGTCAGCAAGGGGTCGGTGTTAATTACTTATTATTTTAGTTCTTTATGTATAAAAGAGAGGGAGTTCCTCACTTCGGTTGATCTTTTTCTTGTTCCAGCTCGGAGAGAACTTTTTTCTAAAAAGTTTTAATTGAAGTAATCTCGGAAGAATCTTTTCCTTATTCTACTACCTAGATATATATATTTCTATAGGTCACTAGGTCCTTCCAGTGAATTTTGGTTCATCTCTCTTTTTTTTCATCTTCTCTATGTTATCAAATTCTTCGCTGTTTTGTATGTACTCACAAACAACACGAGAATTAACATCTCAAAAAAATTCAACAATTATATGCATATTTCAGATGATACATATTCCACATGTAAATATATATAAATGGTGTGGTTTGTATGTAAATAATCTTTATTATGCTTTTTTTTTTTCCCACAATATTTGAATCATAATTTGCCTAATGAACGTTTGGCAGAGGTTCCCAAACCTTAATCCTTATAATTTGAATTTTACTGCTTTTGTGCAGCGCTGTGCCGCATGAGTTGACTTGATCATACTCATGTAATATGGAGCTAAATTTTGAGCCAATCTATATTCTATCATCTCAATAAGAGAGATTTAAGTAGCTAATATAAAGTATTTCATGTGATATGTGGCTTTAATGAATCTTAACATTTTCTTATCATGGTCGATCAGAATTCAATGGAGAAAAAGGATTCATGTAGCCGATCCCACGTAGTGGATTAAGGCTTTGTTGTTGTTGTGATCGATCAAAATTCAAGCAGAGACAACTCCAGTGCAACCTCCAAGTGAATGATGTATGACACTAAATAAGCTTTGTATTTGAAAACGAGTGATAACCGATACAATAAACCTTCATGTTTGAGGGGATTGTTAGAACGCATAGTCTTAGTTCCTATTGTATTAAAATCATAATAACAAAAAAAAAAAACAACGAATTTCCAGATTATATAAGGAAAGATAGTGAAAGAATCTATAACAAACAGACAACAGAACAAAGTTCAACCAAAAACTTAGGGTCTGTTTGGGGCAGCTGCAGCTTATTGAATAATCTGCTGATAAGTTATGTGCGTTGGCTATTACAAATTTTTATTTTTTAAAAAAAGTGAGACCGACCGCTGCCAGAAAGCTGCCACCGCACCTAGATAGTGCGGCGTGAAAACGCTATTTTCAGCATTTTCAAAACACATAAGCTGCCAAAACACAATTTACCTAAATAGTTCAAATGTGTTTTCAAAATACAACTGCACCAAATAAACTGCCCCAAACAGACCCTTAATCTTTTTGAATTTGAACTCTTCTGCCATATCCAAATTTGATAGGTTCAAGTTTAAATCCAATCTTAAAACCCTTTCGAGCCCCATAGTCATACCCAAATGTGATCTATAAGTGCTCAAATTCATTTTAAATTCAACCCATCATATTTTGAGCATATTTTGTCATACTAATTTTATAAAGTAACGTTTGCAATACCTTGCTAAGTTAGTCACTCATTAAAGAGGTTGTGAAGAAGAAATCATGATGCCCGATCAAGTTCATATTCCCACAAGGATTATATATATATATATATAGTTATAGTTATAGTTATAGTTATATATGGTAAATAGAGAGACGAATTAAATTGATTTGAAGCCTTCTTCTATGCTTCTCTTTCGTCTGTCCATCATATTTGGAGCATTAAATAATAAAAATAATATAAATAAATAAATTGTGACCATATTTATTGAATCGGTACGTGACATAATTAAAAGTTTTCATGTGCGGAATTTTTAATGAATATAAAATGAGAAAGCAATGGTTATAAAATTTATTATATATGATGTCATATGCATAAATGGCATTTAGTCTCTATCAGTTCTGGTTGAGGCAATTATAGACAAAACCTATAAAATCACCGGCAAATTTCATTTACCTCAACCACATCATATACGAATGAAACCCTACCTATTAAAGTTTAATGTAACATCCATTAATTAAGTTTGATTTGAATGCAAATAAAAAATTAAATTAAATTAAATTAAATTTGAGACCATTTTTACTTTCCTTTTACCGAGTTTATAGTTAAATGTGAAGTCTCGAGGAGTTCCCGAAGATACTAAGGATCCGTTTCGGGATGCGGTGTGGTGTCTGCACCACACCGCAGTTTTGTCTATTTGGTCAAACTGTGTTTTGATAGCTTTTTTAAAAAGCTGTCGTGAAAATTTGTGTTTTCCCACCGATCCTTACTATGTGCGGTGACAACTTTCTAGCTACGGTCTGATTTTTTGAAAAAAAAAATGAAAATTGTAATAGCTACTATCACTTTTTGAATATCAAATTATTTTTCAACAGCTTAATAACTAATTTTTAATAAGTTGCAGTTGCCCCAAACAGACCCTAAATGTGTCTCAATCCAATTATAAATGAACACTTGAAAATTCGGTTAGAAGCTTCGTGATACCGCAGTTTTGTCTATTTGGTCAAACTGTGTTTTGACAGTTTTTTTTAAAAAATTATCGCAAAAATGTGCGTTTTCCTACCGATCCTTACTAGGTGCAGTGACAACTTTCTAGCTGCGGTCTGACTTTTTGAAAAAAAAAAAAAGAAAAGAAAATTGTAATAGCTACTATCGCTTTTTGAATATCAAATTATTGTTCAGCAGCTTAATAACTGGTTTTTAATAAGTTGCAGTTGCCCCAAATAGACCCTAAATGTGTCTCAATCCAATTATAAATGAACACTTGAAATTTCTCTTAGAAGCTTCGTGATATTAAAAAGCAATATGATTGCCTTCATGAGAGATCACTCAAATCTAAGATCATTAAGATGGTTAAATGCCAAAAGAGTCGTCTATTTTTAAAATTATGAATATGAGTCATCTGATGAAGCGTGAGATTCAAATTTGAACCAAAATTATTGAGTTGTCTGCTTCACATTCTTGACAAAAAGTATACTTTGGATCCAAAAATTTATTTGGAGAGAAAGCATAGAGATTCTTGATGTGGACCTCATCATTGATCTTCTCTCAATGTCGTGAACTAAGCAAACTATTCTCAATCATAATTTTTGTTCCAATGAAGCATGCATGTTTATGGGAGAAACTATTATTTAAATATGGGACTCCTTAAATGTACTCAAAATTGACCATAAAGGCTCAATTAGGCTTTGAAAATATTAAAATTATGTTTAAAATATTTAAAAATTATGTAATAGACATGCTTGAGCCTCGGGTTGCCCTATCAGAATTTTGTCTCCACCGCTCGAGTGCATTGAAGCCCATGTCGATGCGCATGCACGTATGCTTAAGCGCCAGGACTGTGTGTTGTTGCGCATATAACAACATAGGCATAGTGGGCGCTTAAATGATGTGCAATTAGAGCTGTGAATTTAGCTTGGAGATCGTTAATCGCTTGAAGATTGATTCGAATTTTAGCTCGGATTGAGATCGGATCGAAATAAAGGAGCCGAGCTACGAGCCCTTTGAATGGAATTTTTTTTTAGCTGAATTTGAGCCAAACCCCTGCTCGGCTCGAAATCGGGTTGTTAATAGCTTTTGCTTGTGAATTTAGCATATTTAGCTTGAAGATTATTAATTGTTCGAAAATTAATTCTAATTTCGGCTCGGGTCAAGATTGGATCAAGATAAACGAGCCGAGCTACGAGCAAAAAATTTTGGATTGAATTTTTTTTAGCCGATTTTGAGCCCCAGCTCGGCTCGAAATTGGATCGTTAATAGCTTTATGTGCAATGCCACCCACATGTAGGCACAAAATATGCAATAACAATTTTTAGGATTCTTATGTGGAAAAAGAACTTCTAATTTTTTCTTTTTATTCTATTTTTGTTTATATTATATAATAAATTTTAATGACTAAAATTTAAAAAATTTACGAAAATAAAAAAACATATATTTAAGAAACTCATAGAAAATGTTACTCTTGTCCCTATTGTATAACATAGTATCATACATGAATGAAAAAATCTCACATCTATCAATTATCGTCTTGCATGCTCAAATGGATCATATTTTGAGAAATCAAGACCCATAATATTTACCATGGGGCTCTAATCTTTTCATAAACAAAGTTTGATTATCATT